AATCTGAATTTCTCTAAGTTCTATCCCCGCTCCTAATAACCAGATCCATCTAGAAATGTGTAAACTGACTTAGTGAAGATACACATAGGATGGACTTCCTCAAGGCACTGACACAATATCACTGTGAATATGCACTCGCCTATGTCACAACTCTCACAGAGTCTGCCTTCTGAACTCTACATCTGGACAATGTAACTTGCTGGAAGTAATGCAGGGATCCCAACCTGCAAAAAAGTCATTTCACGGAGGTGCCCCTCTCATTTCAGGGAGGTGCCCCTCTCATTTCAGGGAGGTGCCCTTCTCATTTCAGGGAGGTGCCCCTCTCATTTCAGGGAGGTGCCCCTCTCATTTCAGGGAGGTGCCCTTCTCATTTCAGGGAGGTGCCCCTCTCATTTCAGGGAGGTGCCCCTCTCATTTCAGGGAGGAGCCCTTCTCATTTCAGGGAGGCGCCCTTCTCATTTCAGGGAGGTGCTCTTCTCATTTCGGGGAGGTGCCCCTCTCATTTCAGGGAGGTGCTCTTCTCATTTCAGGGAGGTTCCCCTCTCCTTTCAGGGAGGTGCCCCTCTCATTTCAGGGAGGTGCCCTCTGTCCATCTGTCCCCCCAATCCATGGGGGGGCACCCCCCTGAAATGATGACAGATATACCTGCTGCCGTCAGAATAAAAAAAAAAACGGCATAGGAATGAATAGCGAGATTGCTATTGGCTATATCAATTTGCAATATCCAATAGCAAGCTGGCTATTGCACCCGCCCTGCTGCTGTCAGTCAGCAGAGGAGGACCTAATGGAGAGCTTCAGGTCCACCTCTGCTGATGGACAGCAGCAGTGGGCGGGTTATAATAGCTAGTCTGCTATTGGCTATTGCAAATTAAAATAGCCAATAGCAATCTAGCTATTCATTCCTATGCCGTTTTTTTTTCCTGGTGGACGGCGGCCGCAGATGTCAAGAAAAAAAAAACAGATAGCAGGGAAAGGTTTACTCTGCTAGATAAGCAGAGTAAATCTTTCCTGGAGAAAATGTTTCTGTCCCGGGGGTCCGGGAGCCCCTATCTAATAGCGGGAGACTCGAATAATTAGAATATCGTGCGAAGTTCATTTATTTCACTAATGCAACTTAGAAGGTGAAACTAATATATGAGATAGACTCATTACATGCAAAGCAAGATAATTCAAGCCGTGATTTGTCATAATTGTG